TGCCGTAGGAAAACTCGCATCAGGTTTTTTTGGCCGTAAATAACTTTGCCGTATAGGATCGTTGCCGTAAGATAATTTCGCCACATTTTTTTTTTTAGTATGCGAAGTACATTTTTATCAAGTATATCTAGTATACACTGTTGTTACTTCGATTTAAACATTTTAATAAGCGAAGTTATAGGATCAAAATCCTACATTATTGATCCTTGTCAGTGACGAGCGCAAAAATTTCAACTTGACACCAGAACCTATGTTACGCAATTTCATATTTCAGACTTAACGTAAAACACTATGTTAACATAATATCAGTCTGCCAATAATTTTCACTCAAGCAATATATATTATTTCAAACAAACAACTTGAATACGCAACCAACTTCAATGTAAAATATTTGATCAAAGAAAGATAACCCTCAGTAAGTTATTTGCAAACATAAACTGTTTTAAATTCACTATAAATACCTACATATTGAAACTTTCAATACAAATTTTGATACTTTCTGATATTTGACCATACATTATAACAACACAGCGCCTTTTCATCCAAAGTATACTTGACATTTAATTCATCAACAAACTTTTAAAAAAACATTTAAACAATTTAAAATACCACCTTGTCATATAATTAAAATATACTTGATAACAAGTTACTTCGCATATTAAATTGAACATTACTTCAAAATTGGCGTTCATGATATGAGTATCAAAAAAAAACTGCGGCGAAATTGTCTTACGACAAAAATCCTATACGGCGAACTTTCCTACGACGAAGGCGACTGAGGCGAGTTTTCCTAAGACAAATAGGTTTACAGCGAATGTTCAAGATACGAACAAATACTATATCCGGTTTGGCCAAACTCACATTCGTCAAAAATGCTTTGAGCAGCTGTTACTTTTTCAGCATGATGGACATGTATAAAAAAAAGAAGAAAAAAACGGAAGCATGCGCAGCGCGAATTTTAAAAGATTCTACATGTCAATAAACACTGGACAATCTTCACACAGATGAAGAAAAAACTTGACGCAACAGAAATGTGCTTCTACAGAAGCATACTGAGAATATCATGGGTGGAGCAACTACGAAGAGAAAATGGAAACAAAAAGGGGCACTTGTAATTAACAACAGGAAAGGAGAGTTGAAATTTCTAGGGCGCATAATGAGGAAAGAGGACTTGGAAAATGTGATACTCAGATGACAGATTGAAGGTAGGAGGAACAGAGGAAAACAACGCATAATCTACTTAGTGAAATTGAGTAAATGGATGGCGGAACAGGGTTGAGAAGAGATAACAAAAAGACAACATAGCTACAAAGGACAGGAAATTGTGGAGAACCATGATCGTCAACGTTCTGAAGGAACACAGCACATAGAAGAAGAAGAACTTTTTTCGGACAACACCACGGACGAAAAAGCACGCCAATCTCGGCGCTCCCAGAAAAGCACGCCTAGACATTATAGTTGTCAGCTCACTCGTTCGCACACTCATTCCTTCACTGAACTATTATTACTAATTTTAATCACTCTTTCAGAAATTACCCTTAACACTCCTTATTCTAAAACTTCTCATAAATAGTAAACTTTTCTCATTCTGTTTATTCATTTGTTTGTCTATTTTTATCTAACCAACTCAGCGTTCAAGAACTTTTATTAGTTAGCACACACCTTCTCAACATAAAATGCTACTAAAAAACAAGCACAGTAATGAAAATTCTAGTTTCTATGACAATATTTTGTCAGATGCATTTCATATTTATCACCATTATCTTTTATTTACAGCAGACATTTCTGAAAAGCAAAATCTACAGCAGGAATGAACACGAACATTCTTCATATTATTCATACATTAAAACTTAATCTTATGAACGCTGCGGTCCACTAAAAAGAAAACCTCCACGCCCGATTTGCTAACAGGTATTCAAAAGGTGTGGACAGTGTAACAGTTATCGGTTTGAAAAGTGAAATCGTCGAGCCGAGTTCAAATTCCGGTCGATTGGGTTTCATTCAGCCACAAGAAAAGGCTATCAAATACGTACGAGGACCGTTCAAAATGTTCTAAGCCTCCCCCAGAAAGAAGAGCCATAACTGAACATCTTTGTTGTGGTAACACACCGCCACTTCTTATAAAACTAGAAAATCTAATTCAGATTTCTGTTTTAATTTCTGTGTTGGTGACACCCATACAAAGGTGATGGGTGTGCCACAAATCTAAAAATGGACAAAACAGTGGCCCAAGCAGTCATAAAGTATCTGCAAAAGAAAGGTATAACACCCAAGGAAATCAATGAGAACACGGTACAGACACTTACTGAGTCTCCCCTTCCTATGCAACTGTGAAGAAGTGGGCTGTAGAATTCAAGCGGACGGAAACAGCACAGATGACCCTCGGTCAGATTGTCCAAAAAACTCAACCACTGATAAAGAAGTTGATGCCATTTACCGTATGGTTTTAGATGACAGACGCCTTACAGTCCAGCAGATAGCTAAGTCCATAGACATTAGTTCAGGTTCGGTCAACACTGTTTTTGCTGAGATCTTGGGGAAAAGCAAGTTATCTGCAAAATGTGGATCCCAAGAGCACAAGCTAAAAAGGGTTGACATTTACATGACACGTCTGATTCGCTTCCAGGCTGACCCTGAGAATTTCCACCGCAGATTTGTAAATCAAGATGAAACTTGTCTTCACCACTTCGAACCTGAATCAAAGATTCAATGCAAACACTAGAAACACTCTGGTTCTCCACCCCGAAAAAGTTTAAGCAGGCAGCGTCTGCTGGCAATATGATGGCTTCTGATTTTTTTAGTTCTGAAGACGTAATCATGATAGACTGCCTGGAAAATGAAAAACTATTAGTGGACACTATGCATCAGAATTAAGACAACTGGAAGCAATCATGTCGAAAACGTAGAGGGAAGCTTAGGATAGGTATGCTCTGGCTTCAGGCTAATGCACCCGTTCACACTGCTCAGTTTACATTAGCAAAGCAGCCAACTGTGGCTTTGAATTGCTACACCATCTTTCTTACTCACTAGACTTAGCTTCATCTGATTCTTCCTGTTTCGTAGAGATTTACTTGACCCCACTACTGAGTCAAGTTGTGACACAAGGCCAGTTTTTAACGTGCGGACCCGAGTGTTTTCACTCGGGCCGCTGGTCCAAGCTGGTCTTAGCTGGTCATAGCTTGTCCAAGCTGTTCAGAGCTGGTCTAAGCTAGTCATAGCTGGTCTTGGCTTGTCATAGCTGGTCCAAGCTGGTCAGACCCGGTCCAAGCTAGTCGTAGCCGTGATACCACCAGCCCATGGACGAGCCCTGGGAAGTGTTTAAACAGAGGACGGAAAGTGCAACACCGAAATCCGAAGCCGCATTGGAATAGCGAAAAATACCTACCACAAGCTAAGCAAAGTATTAAGAAACAGAAAAATATCCTTAGAAACAAAGAAGAGAGAATTGAACTGTTATGCAATATTAGTCCACATATATGACAGCGAATGCTGGACAATCACCCCACAGATGAAGAAGAAACTTGAAGCAACAGAAATGTGCTTCTACAGAAGGATACTGTGAATACCATTTACCGAACAATTTAGAGAAAATGGAAACAAAAATGACACTTATATTTAACATCTGGAAGAGATAGTTGAAATTAGTAGGGTACATCATGAGGACTTGGAAAATCTTGTACTCAAATGACAGATTGAAGGCAAGACTAAAACAATGCACAATCTATCTAGCGAGCTTAAGTAAATGGATGGTGGAACAAGGTTTAGGAGAGACAACAAAAAGACAACATTTATTAGAGCTACAAAAGACAGGAAGTTGTGGAGAACCATCATCGTCAACGTTCTGAAGAGACAAGCTATATAGAAGAAGACTCGTATCTCCGATTCTTGAAAATGACGAAACCTATCACTGAAAATGCATTCGGAAAATATTTAAGTTACTCTTTTGTATATGGAGTTTTTTAAGAATTTTATTTGTCATTATGAATCAAACTTGTATAAATGAAAGTCTACTGCTTGAATACTACTTTTTTTAAATCCGAATCACCCCAACCAAGACAGTAATTTCACTAAAACACAAGGTTTTAAAGACTGTGGAACAATTAGGAACAGAAACATTAATGATGAACAGAAAGAGAAGATAGTAATCAAGTGAACACTAGATAGCGATTGATACTGCCTTTAAATTGTTTCAGTTTAAAATTAACTGGAAAGCATGAAGCCAGACGGACGTTCCACAAACGAGAAGTGCTAGATAAAAAATTGTTAACATAGAATTTACGGCGACATCTATCCAGTTCAACTGTAAATTGATGAAATCTCGATGCCAGTCGAGTGCTGCGCTTAAATTCCAAAATTCTAAACACCATATCGAAGAGCGATATTTATTCTGTTCTCTACAGAAATGTGGCACAAGGCCGAAAAGGGGATTGGGGAAAGGACGGTCTTCTTCTGTCTTAACTATAACTTAGCTAGCCGCAAACACTGACCCAATCGTACGAACAATATTCCTTGCACCAAAACAACACATTCATACGTACCTTTCTTACTACAACCACCATAATACCTCTTTGTCTCTATCGAAGAGCTCATCTGAACAATTACCATGAAAGTATTTATAGAAAAGACACAGAGAGGCAACCTTACGGCGGTGAGAAAGGGAGTGGCGCTAAGCTGCCAGATCAGGACCAATAATATTGCAGATTCTTCTTTGGATTTTATCAAGTAGCTAAAGTTAAATGGCAGGAGTACCGGACCATATGTGGCAGCAATAATGGTAGACTTATAGATATATAGATACCTGCAAAGCGTATAAGCAGAGGTAAACAATTGTATATGAGTACATCTTTGGACTTCTGCTGTAACTAGAGAGTTAGTAAAGTAACGTCGCATATTAATTTGAATTCGATTTTTTCTGGTTTCTCGAATACTGTGGCTTTGTGCTAGACTTAATTAAGCTCAGTAAATATGTAGAGGTATAAATCATGTATCAAGTGAAGAGCATGCGCACAGACAAGCAGGTCTGTTCGTTTACATTGCTCCCTCTTTTTCTCTTTCTCTCTCTCTCTCACACACACACAAACACAGATACACACACAATTTTTTCTCCCGTTTTCTCTCTCTCAGTTTATTTTCACTCTCTCACTTTCTTTCTCCCTCTTACTGTTTCTCTCTTTTTTTCAAAATTTCTTGCTCTCTCTGTCACTCTCTTTTTTCTAATTTATTCCTCTTTCTCTTCCTCTGACTCTTTCTTTCTCTCTCAATATTTCTCTTTTTTCATCTCTCTTTCTCGATCACTTTCTCACTCTTTCTCTTTTTTCTTTCTTATTCCTTTTCTTTCTCTTTTACTCTTTCTTTCTTTCTTTTTCTCCTTTTCTCTCCTCCTCTCTTTCTCTCTCTCTCTCTTTCTCTCTCTCAATCGCCCAGACACACAAATATTTACAGCTGAACACACTTGAACATCAATATTTGTAAGCTTAACTTAAAACCAAATTGAAAATGCGAAGATTATAGAGGAAGATTTTCCTACCAAGAAAATTAGCGTTCGAAATCCTGGGATTTACATCTCCGTCAGGTAACTACAGATAGTCCTCGAGTAAGACTATAGATGAGTTCCAACAACCTGCACTTACGTTCACCGTAAAATGACCAAGTGTATAGGTATTAAGGATGTTCTGTTAGAGCAGATATTACAATAGATGCTCGAGTGCTTCATACGCTTCCTTGCACGCTGGGAATTCCCGGCCTTATCTCGGCTTACTCCGCGTAATAGCTGCTTAATAGAAATACATATTGAATACGCCTGTAATCGGTTTTTACAGAAGAGTACAAAGTTTTCTTCGTCTTGAAAATTCAGGCCGGTAGGTGAAAAATAAATAAATATCCTGTATAATAAATAAATAGAGCGTCTACTTAAATACGAGTATCCACTAAAAATAACGTGTAAAGTGATAAAAATCTATTGAATTAACAAAATCTCACTTTAAAAATTTCCATATTTGTATATCTGACAACTATTAAAATTAGGCAACTTTGAGAAGGTGACATCTTACGATAAAATATTATAATTGCTACTTAAGGATTTTTAACCCCCAAAAAGAAAGAAAAACATATTTTATGATACTACTACATGTTACTACTACTACTACCAATAATAATAATAATAATAATAATAGTAATAATAATAATAATAATAGTAATAATGATAATAATAATAATAATAATAATAACAATGCAACACACTAAGGGAGGTAATCGACTTATGTCAGAACCAACTTTGGACAAAGTGGTACAAACAGAACCCTGGCTTAATTCGAAGACTATCTGCATAATGAGTTAGCCAAAAAGATCATTTTATAATTGTTGTTAGAAGGCATTAAGAATGTTTGGTTATATTGCTTTTTGATATTAATTTGATACCTGTAATATCGGTGTGCATTTAAAAAATGGTGTATTTTCGTTTATTGATTCTAACATTGTAATGTAACTGGAATATGAGTAATATTTTTTATATACAGTGTAACCGGGATATAAGAGACCCGGATATAAGAAAAACCCGGATATAAGAGAGATTTTCTCTGGTCCCAAAGTGTTCCCATACTTACCTAAACAAAACAGACCAAACCCGGATATAAGAAAAACCCGGATATAAGAAAAACCCGGATATAAGAGACTTCTTCTCCGGTCCCGACAACTCTCTTATATCCGGGTTACACTACAATTGAAGCGCAAACACAAAATATAAAGACTGGTACAGTTTACGAAGAAGGTTCTGTGAATAATGGAAGATCTCAAAAGTGGAATAATAAAAGTGGAATTGCTTCGTAAGCGTTTGTACACACGATAGGAGTTGTCGACTTAATGCGCGTAACATCCACTTAATAGCAATAGCCTGTAAATAAGTAAATTTATAGTCAATTTTTGCATTTGTACATCTGATAGGTTTTAAAATTTAAACAGCGTCATTAGGCACTTTCGCGCTGTTATGACAAGTCGATATGGTTCGTGAAAATATTATTATAATTTCTTATACTCACTGACCCTCAGAGAATAAGGAAAAAATGCTAAATTAATTTTAGAGTAGAATTATCTCTTAGCTTGACCAGTGGGTTAATAAGGAAATTTAAAAAAAATAAAAAATAAACAGCACGAATCCCCCATTTGTTACGATACAAATAATTTAGCTAGCATAGGAGATTTTGAAAAGTTATCACAAATTCAGTCAGTTATATGCCATGCGTGATATACACTGAGACGATCATGTATCTTTTGATATATGACTGACGAGGCAGATTTTTTCACACAGTAGGTTGCCATTTCTTTCTGCGGTAGACCAGTTGCCATCCAAAGCGGCGGAAGACATGTCATCCGGTCTGTCCTGCTATTTTCCCAAGTGAATGTAATGGATTCGACTAGAATTCGAATTCGGCCCTCCGATTCCTCAATCCGTGCTTCTTCCTTATTATTAAGAATTTAAAGCCAAATTTTGTGGGAAAAATTGGTCTAATGGGAAAAATAATAATATAATCATTTCAGCCATTAAAACGTCCTTTAAGATAAGCAATAGAATGTTTCTAAAAACGGACCACCACAAAATATGTCCCCCAGGCCGCATGCAGCCAGCAAGGGTATCCAGTGTGGCCCGCGGGAGATTTTCAAAATAGTCAATTTTTGTATTTATCAGAATAAATTCGCCGACTGATCGCATGCAAAAAATTCATTTCTTTAAAAGCATGACTTTATTCAACCAATATTTCACTATTTTTGTATCTAATTTGTATCTAATTAATCCATTTAACCGTCCCTAGAAAAAGAAAAAGGCAGAATTGTCTCGTCCCCCCTCTCCGTATATTTCTATTTCTATATCACTCATACACAATAAATTACTAAAAAAGAAATTAACGCTTGGGACCTGCAGCTAATTTTCTGTGATTAAAGTAGTCTTTCACATACTTTTAAATATGCAAATCTTTTTATTTTTATTTTGACGTAATTTTCTCTTACCTTGAACAGTATGTCGATAGTGAGAAGGGCGTATGATCAACGAAGAAGAATTAAGAAAAACGGATACAAAATAGTCAGTTGCAATTAGAATCCGAAAGTAACTGTTGAAATTTCTAGGACACATAATGAGGAAAGAGGGCTTCACAATCACAGGACATATTGAAGGCAAGAGAAGTAGAGAGAAAGATTGAGTAATCTACCGAATGAACTTGTGTAAATGGATGACAGATCAATGCCTATGAGGAATAGTAAAAAGACAAACACCACTTAGAGATTGATTGATTCATTCATTTTCTACGGTTTATCAACCTTTTGCAGGTTATTTAAAGCCATAAAATATTTTTAGGTTGTAAGATTTTTTTTTTTTTATAGATAATAGGGATTTACCGACACAAATCTTACTAATTAACCCATAGCTGAGGAAAGACGTGGCTTCATACATCTCCCAGGGATATTTGCGCGAAAGTGAATATAACGAACTCATCAGGAATTCGAACTCGGCTTTCCGGTTTCCAATTCCGAGCCGTTATCCATCACACCAGCCGTACACTCAAGCTTACTGCACCTGGTATTCCCAAGCGGTCACCCATCTTGGTACTGACCAGTCTCGACGTTGATTAACTTCGTTGATCGTACGGGAACTGGTGTTTCAACGTGATGTTGCTGTAAGCACAAACATTGCTTAGAGTTAACAAAGCTAGGACGTTATGAAGAGCCGTCATCCTTCATGTCCTGAAGGGACGCGGTGCATAAAAGAAGCAGAGAATGTTAAATAATGCGACTACGCCAACTCACTCTATGAGGTATTCGACAATACAAAGAAGTTTCCACGGCTTCTATTTCTGTCATGGTGTGAGTAGTTATGGCCAGAGTATTTTTATAGCAATTGTGAACGCAGAAGTAATGTATACATGTAAGCGAATATCAAACAATAAAGTCAGCACCAACTGAAGGAGCGGCCGGAACGGAACATCGTCCTAACTCGGGATTAGCTGTATTTCAAAGTCGACGATGTAAGCTACAATGCGTATCTTTCAGTTTTACACACACCTACTGACGCATAAAAATAAACTTCATTTTCCTCATACGTATGTAATAAAGACAAATTTATAAATCCCATTCAAACCTGCCCTGAATGCCAATAATAATAAAAAGAAATATTTGTACTTTTCTTCTACCGTATACGCGCATATGCACTTTCATATAAAACCGTGCGAAAAAAAAAACACATCTATACATACAAACAATTGCATATACAGTTAAACATAAAGAAACTTTTAACCACCCATTTGCCAGCCGCAGACAACCTTATAGGCATTCACACAGACAATAAGTGTAACGCAATCCTCTCAAACACATTCATAAACACAGGTATACATATATTTACACACCTACTCAAAAATAAAAGCAGATCTATAATGAAATAAATCAGTCTCTCACATATATCCTCTAAACAATAAACCATTTTTTTTTCGTACGAAAGAAAGTCACGTCTCGATATTTCTCTATAAATACTTACGCTCCCTAGCAGATGTTTGAACAAATAAGTATTTGGACACAATTAATCCGGAAACACATTCAATATTTAAAAAAGGATTAATATTTAGTTACCATTTTATACCTTTTTAAACAACGAGGGGATTTTCTTTATGGCTCAGTATATCAAAAAGAGCGATGTTATTGCAGAAGGGTATGTACCTGTGTTTTTCGATTATGCAAAAGTGTTTGATAAAGTACGTTGCAAAGAACTGTTGGAACTGCTTGGTAATCTTGATAAATTTGGGAAGGATATTAGAATAATCCAAAACCTTTACTGGCAACAAATCGCCTGCCTACGGATAGAAAATGAGTTCAGTAAATATATAAAATAAAAAGGGTATAATACAAGGATGTATCTTCTCACCGGAGTTATTCAACCGATATAGTAAGGCCATTTTAAGAGAATTACAAGTCCTACCAGGATTCATTATTGGCAGCCAGAATCTTAACATAGCATAAGCAGAGGACACAGTGTTGATAGCATAAATAGAAAGGAAACTATAGAAGATAGTTGTTGTAACCTAGGGAAGGTTACTGAATAGAATAATCAAACGAAGGTTGGTAAGGAACGATCATACTTAGAACAAGAACAACACATATAAGACTCGCTAGCGGCGGGTAGAAGTAGTCAACTGCTAGAAGTGAATTCCGCAATGAATCTCCAACTGCAGAATACCTACCAACCGCCCCACGCGGTCAAATGTGACACAAGACCGAATATAATGTGGTCTATCCGAGCCCGTAGGCTCGGACAAAAAAGGCCCCGTAGACCCCATATAAAACGGGGTCGCGTAGCTGTTTCCCGAGATGAGACTCTGCCCTTCGACATAGCCTCGTCTGGGGATTCTCTCTACCCAGAGGCAGAGAGTTTACCCAGCAGAGCTGAAGACGAATCTCCAACTGCAAGATATCTAACAACCGCCTCACGCGATGAGATATGGTATAAGGCTGAATTTAATGTGGAGTGTCCGAGCCTGTAGACCTTGTATAAAACGGTATCGGGTAGTTGTTTCCCGAGATGAGACTGGCCTTCGACATAGCCTCGTCTGGGGATCCTCTCTGCCCGGAGGCAGAAAGTTTGACCAGCACAGCTGGAGACGAATCTCCAACTACAGACCAACATACAGTATTTACTACTGTATTTATGGAAATGGAGGCATTATCGTCTGTAGGTATGCTACAACAATAGTGATGGTAAACTAGCAGAAAGGACTAAACATCAAATTAAAGAAGACAGAATGCATGGCTTTTGGCAAAAGAAACAGCCCAACCTGCAAATTATAAATTGGGGATAGGAACAAGTACAACAATTTAAATAACTGGGAAATTTTTTTAACAGAGGACGGAAAAAGATGCCTTCCAAAAACTAAGCTAAGATTTCGTTAAAAAGAAAGAAAAGAGTACTGAAGCAACAGAAATGTGATGCTACCGAGGATTGCTGAGGATACAATGGACGGATTATGTGAGCAGCGAAAAAGTTTTAGCGAAAACAAAAAGGACACTTATACTTAACTTCAGGAAGAGAGATTAAATTTGTAGGATGCATAATGAGGAAAGCGGGCTTAGAAAATTTGATACTCACAAGATAGATTGAAGGCAAGAGGGACACAGGAAAACAACGCATAACCTAGTTAACGAAATAGGTAATGGAACAAGATTTAGGAAAGATAACAAAAAGACAAAATTTATTAAGAGCTACAAAGGACAGGAAATTGTGGAGGGCAATGATCGCCTACGTTCTGAATGGACAAGGCACATAAAAGAAGAATTTAACATCATGACTGGAAACAAAGGGTGAGCGAAACTAGGGACGATTCAAATAAGTCGCCACTACAACTTCTTCGTTTCTGTCACACTGTCAATAGGCATCGGTAGAAGTATTTTTATAGCAAGTATAAGCGTACGACTAACGTGTCACTGAAAGCGAATACGAAACAATAAACATTTTTTTATTATACTAAGAATACTAATTTTATTAATTTTTATGAAAAGCAAATCTTTTTTTTTTTTTTTCTTAAATTAAAACTTTACATATTTGGGAAGGCTATCAGAATAACACAAAATATTTGCTGGGAACAAACTGCCTGTTTACGGATAGAAAAAGGATTGAACTAGTACACAAAAATAGAAAAGGGCATAAAATAAGGATGTGTGTACTCACCGGATTTATTTAACCTTTACAACCAGGCGATCCTAAAAGAACTAGAAGTCCTACCAAGATTTATTATTATTGAATATATTCTTAACTTATATTCTTAACAAATACATAATAGACGCAGATGGCACCGTCTTGATCACAGACACAGAAAAAAACTGTAGGGTCTCCTATACAAGGTAGCAGAATAATTGATTGATTGATTTTTTACGGCTTATCAACCATTTGTAGGTTATTTAAAGCCAGAAAACATGTTTAGATTGTAAGAGTTTTTGGGAGATAACAATGATTTATGATGCAAGTTCTACTAATTAACCCACAGCTAGAGGGAAAAGGGATGGGTGCATACATTTCTCAAGGATAATTGCGCGTAAGTGAATATAACAAACCCGACTAGAACTCGGCTCTCTGATTTCCAATTCCGAGCCGTTACTCATTACACCACCTGCACATCCAAACTTACAGCACCTGGTATTCCCAAGCAATCACCCATCTAGGTACTGACCAGGCTCAACGTTGCTTTACTTCGGTGATCGTACCAGAATCGGTGTTTCAGCGTAATATGACCACAAGCCCCTATAGCAGGAATAAAGAAGCATCAATTATAGAACAAAATGCATGGTCGTTAACAAAAGGGACATCCCAAGATGCAAGCTACAAATCGGAGACGGCAAAATTAAGCAATTACAGAAATTTAACTAAGTGGGAAGTATTTTAGCAAAAGATGGAAAATGTAGCCCAGAAATTCAAATGCACGTTGCAATAGCGAAAGATATCTTCCAAAGATTAATCAAGATATTAAGAAACAAATTGTTCAAAAGCTATGTAATACCAATCCTTCTTTATGCAGTGAATACTGGATAATTTATTCACAGATGAAGATGAGACTTGAGGCTATAGAGTTCCAGAGAATGATGCTGAGAATATTATGGAATGAACTGGAAAACAGTGAGAAAGTTTTGAGGAAAATGGAAACGAAAAAAGATCAGAAAGAGACAGAAGAAATTTCTAGGAGGCATAGTGAGGAAAGAAAGCCTTCAGGAATTTGTTACACATACAGCACATAGTAAAAGCAAGACGGACAGAGGAAAACAGCTAGTAACCTACCTAAAGAGGAATAGTAAGGGAAAAGACATTTCTCAGAGCTACAAAGGTTAGTAGGTTATAGTGAGTCGTGATCAATCACCTACATATCGTCCGGTTTACACTCCTCACCTTTTGAATAGGAGTATAATTATACATTGTTTCCTTTTTAGAATTGAGTTTCCGGTTCTTTCTAAAGTCTACATTTCTATACTTCTAACGTCTCCGCTTAAACTCTGAAATTTTATTTACTACTAGCAGTAGAGCCCGGCGTTGCCCGGGATGTAACAGTAAGAGATAGATCAAGTATCGACCATCATAAAGACTGAAAAATAAAATTGACAAAGATTATTGTTTAAGGTTGACGGACACGCATGTCTTAATTAGTTTTTTTTTTTTTTTTTTTTTTTTTGGTTTGTTTTTTAGGGTTTTTTTTTTACGAATTGGTCAAACTCAAACAAAACATTGTTTTCAATCGTTATGAGTCTACCGATTGAATAGAATTTTATAAACAATTTTTTGTAAATTAAATTTTAAAGCATTCTGAATGTAAAAATAAGAAAAAAAAGTGGGCAAGACAATAAGAAACACTATCTGCCAAAAAAGTGAAGTTTTGTTGAAATCGGTTGAAAAATGTAAGAAATCCGATCCCATATATAAACGAACACACACACACATACACACACACACAAACAACCTGGGTTTTATAATAAGTATAACTCGATATGAGTTGTCATCCTTTCATTCTCGCGACAGCGATGCCTCTTCATCGTGTTTTCAAATTGATTTCGTGCAAAAACAATTGTGTTTTTCCAATTTTTGGCGCTGTCAAAACCACCGCAAGGTAATTTTACGTAGTCCTGTGAAGTTTTGTTGAAATCGGTTGAAAAATGTAGGAAATCCGATCCAATATATAAACGAACACACACACACACACACACACACACACACACAACCTCGGTTTTATAATAAGTATGATTTATTTATTTATTATCTCAATAGAACTAGATAGGTTCGCCTATTGTCGGGTTCACACTCGTCCTCGGTTTTTTGAACAGAAGTAGAGGTTTATTCCTTATTACCTGCTTAAGGTTGGGCTTTCGGTTCATTCTAAAGTATTTTCCTTCTCTTTCACTTCCAGTAGCCCCCGCCCCCTAGCGTCTTAGTAGCATTATCGCCTTGCTTGTGTGAATTGATTAAAAAAAAAAAAAAGCTAAAATATGAAAAAAATATGTATAAATTTGTTTATGACTAATTGTAATTTTAGATTTCCTTATAATGATGCAGGTGTCAGAAATCCCGGGCTTACGGCCGCATCATGTTGAAACATTGGTTCCCGTACGATCAACGAAGATAAGCAACGTTGAAACTGGTCAGGTGCTGTAAGATTGAATGTGCAGGTGATGTAATGAATAATGACTCAGAATTGTTGATCGGAGAGCCAAGTTTCAAATCACGTCTTCATATTCACTTACGTGCAAAATAACCTTCTTTCCATATCTATAGGTTAAATAGTAAGACTTGTATCATTAAAACATTATTATCTCTAAAAAACATCTTACAGTCTAAAAATATTTTCTGAGTTTAAATAAACCGTGAAAAACAGAATCCCAGAAAATAAATATTGAGCTAATTCTTTCAGCTATTGAACGATTAAATTTTTAAATGTATTTTGTTATGAGAACTGTTTTGTTTCTTTCCAGGTATACTGAAATGTGACTGGTCAAAAAAGATTGCTCATCCTATTGGTCAAAAAAGATTCATCAGCAGAAGATATGACGTAATCCTCACTGCGATACTGATTTCCAGCCAAATGTTTTTTGTTTGTTTTTTTTTTCATGTTGGGAACAGATGATAGTCATATCAGGAGAATAGGGAACGTGATAAACAAGTCCAAATCCACAGTCATGCACAACAGCCACTGAAACCAAAGACTTGCATTTAAAGCAATGAGCAAGCAAGACCCCAGTCGTCAGTTTTCCTGCACGTTTGCTCCTGATAGCCTTTCGTAACTGCCTCAGCAACTTTGTATAGTACTCTCCATGAATGTTCCTGTGGGCTAAACCCTTTTTCTGCAGGTACATGATAACACCAATATGCCAAATTTTGTCCATTTTCAAGAAAATTTTCTACTAGTTACTTTTGAAGTCTTCTTTGAAAAGTCAGATGTCAGTATACCTGGAAATAAACTACAGTTTTAACGAGTTCATAATTGATATTACTGAGTTTTGGATTTTTCTTTTTATTATTCATGCTTCCATTATTTTTAGCCGTTTTTATATGGATGAGGCTATTATGGTCGTATTTTCTGCAATTGTGTTGCGGATGAAGTTTGTTAGTTTCCCGTATTGTTTAAAAGGGATCCAAAATTGAGCTATTGTCTGAGAAATGTAACATAAGTCTTCTTGATAGGTATGCAGTGGTACGTTCAATATAATTAATTATGAATTCGGTTTGATAATGAACGCAGTTCTTTCAGGGGCATATAAATTCATGAATAATACTGGTCCTATGTAATTTGGATATTGTAGGTGTGTTGTTATTATTGACGATGAGATTAGATTTTTTATTATACATAATTTAATTTTTTTTTTTTTTGTTCTGGTCGAGTGAGGTTATGTATTTCTTAATAATGTTTCTAAGGGTAAATTCATCCTGCTTATAATTAACGCGTATTTGATATATTATAGAACATGATATTATTATTTTTTTTCTGTATATTTAGTCTTGCTGTTGCAAGAAATAATTTGTGAGATTATTCGCAAAACCGTTATTAACAAGCTTTTGTCTGACGTTGTTGTTCTTTCAAGGTCGAGAAGATCCATTCTCGTTCGCTCTCATGAGGAATTTTTATGACATCTATTTTATATTAAATGGGCATTCACTCATAGAATTAAGGTTGCATGAGTTTCTATTTGTAGGTTTTGTGGTATAACGTAGTGGTTCTACAAGAGCCTCTAAGAATGGGAGTTTATTTTTTTGACAAATCAACGTTCTTCCTGAAAGCCACCATTATCCGAGTAATGTCCACCATCATTATAGACTATGGGATGTGTGCACGTGAACGATTCTGATCCCGCATTGAAGCAATCATTGCGGCTAAAAGTGGTTACAACTAATAAACATGTAATCCGACAATTAATGCATGTGTATATCAAATTATGTATCAATAAATTTAGTTGTTTGTAACATTAGGTTTTCATATGGTCTTAATGTGTCCTCAAGTATCTTACGTACCCAGTATATATATATATATATATATATATATATATATATATATATATATATATATATATATATATATATATATATATATATATATATATATACACGTGTATGACTTTACTTGTTTGTTTAATGGCATATCAACATCTTATGGGTCATTTAATGCTAAAATTTAATTTTCATGGGAGTTTTGAAGTAATAAAAATATGTTATTATATATTATTGCTTTTACAATTGACTATATGATAGGTGATACTTAGCTTTTGTGTATATATATGTTTGTGTGAACATAATTACTCGAGGCGGCGATGTGCGTTTTATGCTGTAGTTTTGTTGAAGTTATGCAGGGTGCGATGGGCAAATTGTGGCCAATGTATATTTTTCATTTCGCGGATGTGCATTATTTGTTTTTGATTTTGTCAACTGCACAGTATAGTAGGGTCAGTTGGGCAACGTCTGTGAGAAAAAAAAACACCATGGCGCAGAAATTTGGAAATAGCATGGTATATTGCTTATAATTCGCACCGGAAGCTCCAAATCGAACTTTTCAAAGTGTTTGGGTGTCAATCCTAGAATAGTGCAGAGGATTCGGAAAGAGTTAGATGAGGGTAATGGTGATTACGAAGATACGTCAGCTCGCAAAACACCCTCTTATCGTTCTGATAAGAAAAGTACTCCCGAAATTGTGGTGATGCCTCAAACTCAACACGTGACTTGTGGTTGTACTTCTGCCCTGGATCAAGCGGGTGGCTGTTGGAAGACCTTATGTCTGGCAACAGCACTCTGTACCATGCCACACAAGCAAGAGAAACCAGTCATGACAATTTCTGTGACTACATCGACCCTTATATCTGGCCACATAACTCTCTAGACTGCAACCCGTCTTGATTATTATGTGTGAGGTGCAGTAGAGCGAGAGACGAACAAAATTCCTTGTAACACCAAAGATGAACTGAAGGCAAGGATTATGGTAACATTCACCAACTTAAACAAAAAGACTGTCCAGAAGAGACGAAGGTGATTCCAAAGTCGTCTGGAGGACGTAGTTGAAACCAATGGCGACTTTATTGAAAAAATTTACTTAGTATTTCAACATATTTTTGTGTAATTTTGGTAAATATATATGTTAAAATGAGATTTCAGTGTTATTTTATTTTTATTTTTGCGGAATTTAGACGACAATTTATCCATTGCACACTATGTTTTCGAATACAATTTGATTTCTTTAAGAAATTGTAGGATTTTATATGAATGAATATCATGAAGGAGTTTTCTGATGCTGATTGATGTATTCTTCGTAATTTCACTATAAATAGTTATTGTTGGCATTTTTATATAAAGATTTATTGCTGGG